CTGATTTTCTCTTAAATCTTAAAGAATTTTAGGACAAAGGGGGTTGTTTGGGTGAAAGTGAGCAACATAAGTTGCCCCTAGGTGGGGGGCGGTTTCTTGCCAACAAATCTGACTTTGCCGAATATTTTGTGGGACTTGTTTTGAACTGTTTCTTTAGTTCACAGTTTCATTTATATTGGATATGTCTGTATATCTAGTGAATGATTGAAGGTTTTGCAAAAGTTAAATTCTTGATTTTCCATTTCCGAAGAAAATATGGAGTATTTCAAGTTCAAAATGGGGATTATTTTTGCATTTTTTTGATGGAAACAATTGCCAATTAAGTGACCTAATCTCACTTAGACATGTTGTGTTTGTAACAACGGGAATTTAAACAAGAGGGACATGGTTGAATAATCTTGACCAAACTTTTTGTCAAGGTGACAAAACAAAACTTGAATTATTGTGTCAATATTAAGTTTAATCACTCGGAATTGAGATATTTTTTCAATAACTCGTAGAAAGAATTGGGTGGATTAGAAAGAATTTATAGTAGGTGACCATGATAGTGGGAAATGAATTAGTCAGAAATTATTTGAATTTTAAAAAATTAAATTATTAGCAAATAAACAAATTTATTCAATTAAAGTCTCAAGAAAAGAAGGAATTATAAATCTTGGGTGCCAAAGGAAACAAAAATTCAAAAAAATTTCCGTTGCCGGGACTTGAACCCGGGTCTCTCGGGTGAGAGCCGAGTATCCTAACCAACTAGACTACAACGGATTTGCAGTAAGAAACATTATAACATAATTAATATAGATAAGCGATCAAATTTATTCAAGTTTAGCCCCTGTTTTACCACCATTGTCAATGTTTTGAACAGCAATTTTTATAATAATATATGATTAAAAAGAAAATATTTTTTGAATTTACGTGCAAAATGTTTTATTTTGTGAACAAGTGTGTAGATTTTTTTTTTCCGAATAATGATTGTCAAACGAGAGCTAAATTCGTAACTTTTTTATTTCTTTCATTTACTATTTAAAAAACTATAACAGATATCAAGACCCATTCCTATAGGTTATGGATTTTTAAATTTAATTAGACAACGAATTTGTTAAATTTAATTCAATTTGGATAAAATATATATTAACTTATTTTAAATGAGAAAGGGGTCAAACACAATAAAGAAATGTAATTAATTAAACGAACGTTGTTAATCGTTTTGTAGATTAAAATGTGAATAAGAGCTTAAAGTCAAAAAAATGGCATGGTTCTAAAAACTTTGCTAAAACACGGAAATGGCATGGTTCGAGTTTGGTTGGTTTTGAGCTCAACCAAAAATCAATTTGGTCAGTTTGGATAAATTTTAATCCAAACCGACCTGATCTAGCTATTGAAATCGAGCCATACCAAATCGTTTGGTTAGTCAGCTTGAATATTTGTCCGAGTTAAAAAAAATTTACCCTACCTATTTTGTGTTAAAAAATTTATTTGTCGGGTTGTCTCGCTCGACTCGAGAGCTGATAAACGACCCATGAGAATTTCTTTACTTGGCTTTTGCCAACAACTTGTCTCAAACGAGAACCGAACATGTCCAACTTTTTAGTNNNNAACCGAACATGTCCAACTTTTTAGTGGGATGAGTCAAGCCGTTCGTTAAAAGTGTCAAAATATATTTCATGTCCAATATTTGTGATGGTCTATAATTTAAAGAAAAATGAAAAAGATAAAATTATGCAAACCAAATTGTGTAGACTTTACTTACAAGCAGGTCATAGCCAGCACTCGATGAGCCCCTATGGTCGCACCATTGAATTTTTACTTCTTCTTTTTTTTCCTTATGGATGATTGTGCAAGCCGCTCGCTGGCTCGCTAGCGAGCTCATTGGTTGCTTTTTGCAAGGTTTTCATCAAATTTGAAAAGAATTTCATTTTTTTTTTAATCTTTTGTCTCAAAAATAGGGATTTTTAAGGAACCATTTAGCTCTATTTGGGAAAAATTCATAAATATTTTAATTTATAATAAATAAAAACGAGTGACAATTAAGTTTATAGTATCCGTGGATCCATTGAAGTGAATAATTAAAAATGATACTTGGTCATTCGTAAATAATCTTTAAATTTAGCCAAATTGAGGTTTATGCACACACTATTTTCTTTGAAATAGTTATTTTCATCTCAAGGTATGACACATTTTTTAATGTACTTTTTAATGAAAACTTTGCCAACGAAGTTTTTTTTTTAGAATTCTGACGTACAAAAGCAGAATTCACAGAAATCCAACAAAGACTCACAGTCGGGGGTTTTTTTTTTCAATATTTTACTCATGTGAGTATTATGTACCCCTAGCAAAACCCTTTTATTATATCTTGGATTCCTTTTTACTTGGGATGAAAACTTTAGCTCGGTTTGGTTTGAATAAAAATTCAATTAAAATTTTAGGTCAACTTCGACAATTAATTTTAGGAAAAATTGTAGCCGAGGTACCAAAGATTTCACTTTTTTGTAGACTTTGCCCAAACATTTATTTTGTACCACCGTAGGTGTCAAACCTTCAAAAAAATCGCAGCCCAAAGTCCAGATTGACGGTTTCCGTCGATTTGACCCAAAAAATCTTCAGTTGACCTTAAAAATTAAAATCTTAATAATTTTGACCAAATAAAATGGGTAAAATGGTCATAATACATTTCCCTATTATTTCAAAAAATTTAAAAACAAAAGACAAAATCACAACCCCCACCCCACATTTCCAAAACAATCTATTGAATCCCCCCTCCCCCAAAAACCAACCCCAATCCCTGCCATCGCAGCCGTGCCACCCCTTCGCCGCCATAGAAGCCCCCGAGAAGGTTGTCGACCTCGGTGACCAGAGGCCAATGCCAAGAAGGCTGTCGAGCCTTGTGGTTTTCCATTGAACAGCCATGCACAATGCCAGAGGCTCAGAATCCAAGAATTTTCGACAACCCCGTAAAGCCAGAGAATTAAGGAGTTTCTTCAAATGGATTTGAGGAGAGTAAAAAGGTAAAAAGTGGGTCACTCACAGTTTTAGTGATTGCTGGATTTTCCGTGGTGGTTGGGATAGTGTTTGTTTCAGTGTGGATGTCTAGGAGAAAATGGAAAATGGCAGAGAACAAACTGGGAAAGGAAAATGTGAGCAGAGAGGTGGGGACAATGGGAAGTGAGGAGGATGGGCAAAAGGGAAATATGTTCTGGTGGATTAAGGGTTTGGTTTGGAATTAGAGGATTTGTTGAGGGCATCTGCTTATATTGTTGGGAAAAGTAGGAGTGGGATAGTGTACAAGGTGGTGTTAGGTGGAGGTGTCAAGGGGTGAGGATCAGGTGTGGGGGGTTCAATGGTGGTTGCAGTGAGGCGTCTCAGCGAGGAAGACACCATGTGGAGGTTTAAGGAGTTTGAAACCGAGATGGAAGTCATATGT